TCAATAAAATTAAAGATATCAGGAGAGGTGACTGTAGATCTCCCACAACACTTCCAATACTGAGGTTGTAGCTTCAGAGACTTTCAATTATCAAATCCTCCTCCATACAAAAAATTCCTAGCGCACAGATCACTAGCTATCAAGGGGAGGATTCTTGAACTGAAGGGTTCTAGCTTATGCTGTGCCATTCTCCCAACTGTATGTGGCCCCCTGGAGCTACTACTTGCTCCCCTGGAGGCAACCAATAAGGCAACCAATAATTCTGTAGGTCTGTTTGAGGTTGGAAAAATGGAGTGGGGTTAACCCCAACACACACACACATACACACGGTCTTAATCTAAATCCCCAGACCTGTAATTTATTAATAAAAATCATTCAGGAAATCCAGCTACAAATCTCCCAGTGTTTCATCAGTGAGATCTAGAACATTGTTCATAGTGTTTGGTACATACATGCCAGCCTACGTTTGGCAAGCTGGAGTCATCAAAGTATGGATGTGCATGTGGCCAATGTTATGTGACTGTAGAGGAGCCTGGGCCCAGTGGATCTGGGAGAGTGCCTCCCCGCCTCCCCAGGCTCTCAGTGTGGCAAATGAAACCTTGCTCTGGGCATCTTCTTTTCAAGGAGTTAAATCTGCTGAAGATCAGAGCGGTGGTAACCTTCAGAGACAGTGAATTGAACTGTAGAATGATCTCCCCAGAGGCACCTGCCACACTAAATCCTACACAGATTGTAATGACAGGTCAAAACATTTTTATTTTCTCAAGCTTTCCAAACACGGCTGAAGCTCAGACTGTGGTTTACATAGCTCAGACTGTGGAAATGTTTTGTTCCAAAGATGGTTTCACAGTTGAGGTATCAGTTTTGAAGTGGGTTTGAGATTCCCATTTGGCAACCTTAGTTTACCCAATTTTGATGTCACAGCAAACTGGGTACTAAGAACCAGGAAGTGAAGGAAGCACTTGATGCCTAAGAAAAAACGAAAGAGGGGAAGAAAAAAACATGTCGTCCCCCCCAAATATAGATTATGGCTATGATGTTTGGACAGAACTGCAGTTTCTAAGATTTGGAACACCATCTTGAACACTCAAGGAACAGGAAAAAAAAATATTGAATAACAAATTCAGCTGAAAACACATTCAAAAAGAGAAAAGAAAAAGGTGCAACAGGATGTCTTAAGACTTCTGTCCACATCAGTAATGAAAAATGTTGTCTTTTTAAAAACCAGATTGATTATTTGACTGGAGAAAACAAGGAAGACCTCAGAAGTGATGGATTCCAAGATGCAAAGTAGGCAGCCCCACTCCTTCCTCCTGATGTGACCCCTGGCAGCAGACGGCATGATAAACTGTTTATTTGATTTAAAAACTTCTTAGAAGCCTTTTCAGCCACATGGCATTTAAAGTGATGTACTATTTTCTAACGCCAGAGTGGTGTACTGGTTAGAGATAGGGATACGCAGGATCCAATCCCTACTCAGCCAGGAGCTCCCGTACCAAGTCAAATCAACTTTTTTGTTGTTTAGTCGCACAGTCGAGTCCAACTCTTCGTGACCCCATGGACCAGATCACGCCAGGCCTTCCTGTCTTCTGCCGTCCTATTACTCTGCATTGTTCATTCAGGAAGGCCTCCTTATCTCTCCTTGCTGTTCTCTGGAAATCTGCATTCAGTTGGGTAAATCTTTCCTTTTCGCCTCTGCCTTTCGCTTTCCTTCTTTCCTCTGCTATTTGTAAAGCCTCATCAGACAGCCACTTTGCTTTCTTGAATTTCTTTTTCTTTGGGATGGTGCTGATTCCTGCCTCCTGTACAATGTCACGAATCTCCGTCCATAGTTCTTCAGGCACTCTATCTATCAAATCTAGACCCTTGAATCTATTCTTCACCTCTACTGTATATTCATCAGGGATGTGATCTAGGTCAAAACTGAATGGCCTAGTGGTTTTCCCGATTTTCTTCAGTTTAAGTCTGAATTTTGCAATGAGCAGCTTATGATCTGAGCCACAGTCAGCTCCAGGTCTTGTTTTTACTGACTGGATAGAGCTTCTCCATCTTTGACTGCAAATTATATAGTCAATCTGATTTCGGTGTTGCCCATCTGGTGATGTCCATGTGTAGAGTCGTCTCTTAGGTTGTTGGAAAAGGGTGTTCGCTATGACCAGTGTGTTCTCTTGACAAAACTCTGTTAACCTTTGCCCTGCTTCATTTTGCTTTCCAAGGCCAAACTTGTCTGTTATTCCAGTTACCTTTTGACTTCCTACTTTAGCATTCCAGTCCCCTATGATGATGAGGACATCATTTTTTGGTGTTAGTTCTAGGAGGTGTTGTAGGTCTTCATAGAACCGGTAAACTTCAGCCTCTTTTGCATCAGTGGTTGGGGCATAGACTTGGATTACTGTGATGTTGAATGGTTTGCCTTGGAATCGGACCGAAATAATGCTGTCATTTTTGAGATTGTATCCCAGTACTGACTTTGGCACTCTCTTGTGGACTATAAAGGCCACACCATTTTTTCTACGGGATTCCTGGCCACAGTAGTAGATATAATGGTCTTCTGAGTTAAATTCGCCCATTCCTGTACACTTTAGTTCACTGATTCCTAAGATATCTTGCCATCTCATTTTTGACCACATCAAGCTTACCTTGATTCATAGATCTTACATTCCAGGTTCCTATGCAGTATTGTTCTCTGCAGCATTGGACTTTCCTTTCACCATCAGACACATCCACAACTGAGCGTCCTTTCGGCTTTGGCCCAGCCGCGTCACTCTTTCTGGGGTTACTTGTACTTGCCCTCTGCTTTTCCCCAGTAGCATATTGGACACCTTCTGACCTGAGGGGCTCATCTTCCGGCGTCATATCTTTTAGCCTTTTGATACTGTCCATGGGGTTTTCATGGCAAAAATACTGGAGTGGGTTGCCATTTCCTTCTCCAGTGGATCACACTTGGTCTGAGTTCTCTGCTGTGGCCTGTTCGTCTTGGGTGGCCCTCCATGGCATAGCCCACAGCCTCATCGAACCACGCAAGCCCCCTCACCACGACAAGGCAGTGATCCATGAGGGAGCAAATCAACTTAACCTACCTCAAAGAGTTGTTGTTATGATAAAAGAGAGGAGGAGGTGAGCCATGTTTGCAAACCTGGGCTCCTTGGAGGAAGGGCATGATTAACATGTAATCAATAATAAAGCCATCAAATAAAACAATAGAATCACAACACGTAAGACTCTGGCATATGTCTTTACAAATTAAATATTGAAAACTTGCCAAAAGTATATACTGAAGTGGCCCATCTAAACTCTTGTGGGTGGGAATTCTAAGGCAGGCCTCACAACAGCTCCTGATCTATCTGTAACACAAAATTATCCCATTTATTTTGCTACCAAAATATGAGACAAGCGAATTACCTAAAGGAGTGGCTCCGGACCTGAGGCAGAGTCCCTAATGTTCACAGACAGCCCTTATACTTTCTGTACCAAAAGGAGGAACAGCAGTTGCCCATTCAGGGGAGGCCATGACTGTGAAGGTCAACCTATTATCTCCTCTCTAACTAAGAAAACTGTTGAAATTGACCGCATATACATAATGAAAATACATCAGGGTAGGAGGGTCTGCAACTGGCCCTCAGTTTTAACATGTACAAGCATCTAAACAGAGGTGAGCATACTTCTCAAACATTATGGGAAACACCTCAAGTATGTTCTATGGAGAGAGCTGTGTTTGTCTGTAGCAGTAGAAAAAAGAGTCCAGTGGTACCTTAAAGACTAACAAAATTTGTGGTAGGGTGTGAGCTTTCATGAATCACTGCTCACTTCTTCAGATACAGCTAGAATGTGAGTCCATCTGTCCTATATATTGGAAAGTGGAGTGATTTCAGATGCCAATTGACACTCCACTTTCCAATATATAGGACAGATGGACTCACATTCTAGCTGTATCTGAAGAAGTGAGCACTGACTCATGAAAGCTCATACCCTACCACAAATTGTGTTAGTCTTAAGGTGCTACTGGCCTCTTGCTCTTTTCTAGTACCCCAGGTATGAACCCTCTACAGGTGTATGCTGGCAACTTCCATCTATATATCTAATTCCCAACATGCCCCCTCCGTGCAGATATCTAAATCCACACATCGGGGGTACTGGGGGGGGGGGCAGGGAGATTTTCCTACACATTTGGGGCAATACCCTGAAGTGTAGAAAAATCTGAAAACTTGGAAAAAATATGCAGAGAATATTTAAATCCCCCCAAAAGTAAAAGAGTGTTCCCTGCGCAGGACTAGGGAACGTTCTGAGAATGGCTTCGCCACCGCTGCTGCCACCGCCAGGGAGGGAGAGGGGGTGGGAGAAGGCTTGGCCAGCCGATGGCTGTAAGCCGCTCAGCCCTCGCCGTCGAGGGGGGGGGGAGAGAAAGCTTGGCTGGCTGAGCTCAGGCCTCGCTACCGCTGGTGCTGGGGGGAAGGGGGAGTGGGAGAAAGCTTGGCGGGCCAGCCAGGCCACGCTGCTGCTGCGGGAAGGGAGGGAGAAAGTTCGGCGGGCCAGCCAGGCCTCACCGCAGCGAGGGGAGTTGGGAGGGAGAAAGCTTGGTGGGCCGAGTTCAGGCCTCGCCACCGGTGCTGGGGGGGGGGAAGGAGGGAGAAGGCTTGTCTTGTAAGGTTCTATTTCCATAAAGGAGAGGAGAAAGAGCAGTCAAAAGAAGCATTGACCAGGGAAGTTTTTCAATCCATTTTTATTAGCGTTGATGACAAAGGAAGTGCTAACATGAAATCCTCCTGGATTTCAACATGGACAGCATGTTACAGGGCCGTGTTGTGCACTACTTTGAAGTTACTGGTCGCAGCAGGCAAATACATTGAGAACTACACATCTAGAAGACCAGCTCTTGGGAGGAAGGCATGGGAAGTTAGCACACACTTCACTTAACTCACACATCGTTCATAGACAACATCCCATAAGGCTCATGCAACAATACACTAGTCAAACTCTTAAGGGACAGTTTGTTCACTCACCAGAATTGTGGTAAAGCTTTTCCTGGATTACATCACTTCTTTCAGCATGCAGGGGAGGGTTACCCCTTTGAATGCTACCCCATATTCCTTGTGCATTAAAAGGAAAAAAAACAGCATGTCATGGGGGAGCAGTCAGTTTATCTTTGTCCTCGATAAGCCATTTGCTATATACAAATAGTATTCTTGTCTTTGTCTGTAGAGGAGCATGCCAGTAGAAACTGCCCTCTCTTGGACCACCAATCTGAAATAGAACAGACTGGGGAAAGCTTCACCAGTTGATTCTGTTAGATGTATAAACTGTATAAATTAAGAGTAATTTCTTTTTCTCAGCCTTTGGATGCACCTAAATAGTTCCCTGGATTGCAGCCTCAAGTCTTGAAATCCAGACCACTTGACTAGAAGGTGCACCTGGATTCCAAGTTCAGATCTCACCTCTGCCCTAGGGTGGCTTTGGAAAACTGTTCACTAATTCTCAGCTTCATTTTATCTCAAAAATTCCATAAATGTTCCCGGGAATTGTGATGGTTCTATGGGGGTTACTTAATAAGAGGATCAGTAATGGTGGATAAGGGGCCTCCAATAGGCAGCTCGACTAGCACTATCCATCTGAATTCCCCTGTGGTGTGCAGCCATATAGTAAAATGTTGGATATGCTATAGGTTACCCTTGTGTGGTAGTGGTAGTGGTAGTGGTAAGGCCCAAGAATCCCAAACAGGGTCCTGCATGAGCCAAATTTGCACCATAGAGAACACCCTTAGATGTTTTACAATGCTCTACAGTTCCTCTGCAGACGTGATCAATGAGCAAAAGTTCCCTGAAGGTGGAAAGCTTGAAAAACACTGCTGAGCAACCACCCTCCCAAGGTTGCTGTAATGATGGATGAGCTAAAAGACTGTACAAGTACATTTTGCAGAACAGACCTTACTATTAATTAACATCAAGTCCAAGTGAGGCAACCACTAGGTAGGGTTGCGGGGGAGGGTGTTCTTGTTTTCTGTTGAAGGGGGCAGAGGTGGAACTATCCATAGATCAAGCTAAAGGTTCTATTTTCAATCCTTCTATTTACTGGCACTCTTGGATAAATGCTGCAGATGAACTGCTTTTGCAATCAGAATTCATATTTAATTTAACTTGTGTTTCACTTCGGCAGGAAGCATCTTAACTTCGAGGATTTATAAAATAAAGATGATTGCCCCTGCAATCAGTTGTGCAGAGGGACTGGGAATTAAGAAGGGCCTCATACCAAGCAAATGAAGCTACTTCCCTACCCTCCTGTGGTTCTCAGGGACACAGTGTCTTGTTAATCGACAAGAAATATGGTTGTGTATCCAGAGATTAAGGATGGGAGGGGGGTGGAGACTGAAAAGTCCTTGACAAAATCTGGTTAAATATGCACACAAAATCATACTTAGGAAGGCACTGACCTGTATCTCTACTTATGATATCAAGAGCAGTTTTGAAATCCACTAGGGCACTGACTAATGTTATAAGGGCGGGTATGAGGTATCAAATCACACATGTTGATTTGCACAAAAGTAGTGAATTTGCCCCCTCCTATCAGAAAGTGGGGGGGAGGGGGTATCTCTGTCATTATTGCAGGCTACAATCTTTGAAATCTCCATAGCTATCGGTTGATAAGCGCTCTGGTGGCTTCTTGATAATGAAATTAATACTCCCTTGAGAGAGGTTTGGCTGCTGAGGTGCTATGGAATGCTCATGAGTATTCTAACTTTCCAGAAGTTTAAAGAAATGCCAAAATACTAGGTCTCAGGTTCAGATGCAGCTATCTAATGTGAAGGAGTGCAATGAAGGAAGGCAGCAGTATCACAATGTAAGTCACTGGTTAAACTTAAGTAACTATAGCATGACTCTGTAGTACTGTCACAGAGTCTGGGGCCAAGAGGTGTTTACTTGTACTGTGGCTGATACCCATGGCCACAGAATCTGTACAGGAGCAGGAAAACTATCTGAAAACATTTAGACATGAAGCTGAAAAAGATCCTTTTACTGATCGAGGATGCCTTCGCTAAGGAAACATTTGCAAACCCTGGGTTTAAATTAACTGAAACTGGGTATGTGGATACTGACACCAACATTCCGCTAAATATTCTGTTAAACTCAGCCCTTAAAACCCATCCTTCAGAAGCACAATATGCTACCCACATTCCTGAGGCACACTGGGGCCATTCCATCTCACTGATGCATGAATCTAGCACTGGCAGGTGTGTGATACTCTTTGGTCCAACTAGCTGGAATCCTTCCCAAGCGAGTTGGAATCCTTATAAGCATTTTGTATGAGGGCAATCGCCTGGAAGTGACAGCTATAATTTAAGTTTATGCCTGAAACTTTCATTCTAAGTCTGTTTTATATTCTTGTATAAAAATAGTCCTCGGTAGCCAAAATTCTAGATGGCTGATATTGGACTGGGTTGAAATATTTTAAAGTAAAGGGGAGTGATACAGGAGACTGGGTTTTGTTGGGTTTTTTTTATTTTTTAGTATGCCAGGGGAAGGCAGGGGGTAAATCCTAATTTGGATTTAGTAAAGAGCGGATAAGCACTTAATATTTTTAGCTATGTGATAACTTCTCTAAGGCACAAAATTGAGAGACCCTACAACATTTTGCAGTTAGATATGCTTATCTACTGTACAATGTTTTATTTACTTTTTATAGGGTAACCCCATTCAGACTGTATTCCACAGCCCTGCCTGCCCCTTCTTCCAATCTCATTGCTGAAGCATGCAGAAAGGGGAGATCCCATACCTTGTATGGCTTGGCTTGAAGCCTGGTAGAGCGCTAACCACTTTTATGAGGTAAACTTTACATCTTGCATTTCAGGCGAGAGGCATAAAACAGCTTTATTTCTAGGAATCAGGGCATCACATTTCACTTTTCTACCTGTTGTGGAAGTATTATAACTTTGATATAAATCAGTCAGCCATGTAAGCAAGGCCCCAGGCATTTTTATATATCCAATATATTACACATTTGTACACACCATACTAAAGAATGGGGCATCAAGGCAACATCTCAAAGACTTCAGGAAACAAGCTGCATTCCAACCATTATCCCTTCTAGCTTTTTTATGCCTGAAATGCCCTCCTAGAACAATTATCTCATGCTACCTCCCTTCCTTTTAAGTCCCTCCTCAAAACCTACTTTTTCCATGAAGCCACTGGCTTAATCCCTTAGTCCTCATCTCCAGGGGTCTTGTTGTAGAAAAAGAGCTGCCGGAGCTCATTAGCATAACTCATTAGCATAACTTATTTGCATATGCCACGCCTCCTGACATCACCGGAAGTGACAGAAGGCCACACCCCCTGACATCACCGGAAGTGTGTCAGAAGGCCCGGCTACTTACCCTCCTGCTTCATCCTCATTCCCAAACGGAATGAGGATCGAAGCAGAGGGCGGGGTAAAGAAGGGGGCGGGGCTTCACCACGTGACAGCCCCGCCCCCTAGAGGTTCTCTTCCGGAGCTCCGTACCTGAGAGCTCCCCCCCGACTAGAGCCCTGCTCATCTCCATGAGGCCGACATCTGGTTCACACATGCAGAAAGATGAGGTGGCAGAGAAAGGATTGCACCACTTTAGACTGCAAGGGGAGGATCACATCTTGAAACGCTCCCCTGTATTAAGAAGTCCCCAAACGCAGAAAACCAGCACAATAAGCACAGAAACATGATAGGGAGCTTTCTCCCTGCGTCCCACTAAGTCTTCTGCTTCCACTAAGTTTTGTTTGCCGAGGAACAGTCAAAGCTGGAATCTACCACTTGCAGTCTATGCAGCGTATTCTGTTATCTCATTCTCCTACATGCCTAAATACATTTGGTCACACTCTTCCCTTGTTATCCTTGCTGCTTCCTTGCCTCCCACATCTGCCTCTTACCTTTCCCATTGTTGAAACTGATATTGCAAGCTCTTTGGGGCAGGAACATCATGTCTTTGCTGCTCTGTAAAGTGCCATGTGGTATGGCACTGTATAAATCATAGCAGATTTCTGGTGTGGAGAACAGCAGGTATTTTGTGCTTTTAAGTTTAAGGGAATTCTCCATCCACAGCACAATATTACCCCTACCCCCATCGCCAATGAAGAATAACCTGCAGCAATTTAGCAAGGGTGTAATAAGGACTCCAAACTGGGGCAGGCATGACACCAAGCCATTATTTTTCAGGCCTGCTGGGAGAAGATCAGCAATTCAGAATGTGGCTTCACAATTTTTCAGCTGTTCCTCTGCAACAATGGCTGAGAGCTGGGCCAGTTCCAAGGGCTGACAAGACCCATATGTTTATATGCTGGTACTGGCACACAGCCTGAGTAAACAGACTTCACACAGGAGAGATCCACTATGAGATGTACCTTCAGGCCACAAAGATATGCTGTGGCTACCACTGCAACCTCAGGCCTCAACTAGTAGTCACCACGGCGATTCCCTCACCACACACAGCGTGAGGGGAATGAGGGGGGTTGTGCAGTTCTGCATAATTACCCTCGTCCTGATTTGACAACTGGGCAAGCAGTTTCCTTGGACCTGCCATTCTGATACGCATCGAAATAAAACAAAATCCCAGGTTTAACCCTAGCAGAACTCCTGTGCCCATGGGTCACATCAAATATTTCATTCTCAAATATACAACTGAGATGCCATAAGCAGAAACCTAAAATGGAATGCTAGGGCCAAATTAGATGTGATTTTTTTTTTTTTTAGAGTTGGGTCCAGGCCTATGGAAGGGAAGAGCACAGAAATACCCCCCCCCCCGCATCTTTTCAGTGCAGAAAAATGGCAGGAGGCAATAGCTCCTCATCCTCCCACAATGGCATTCTGACCACAGTTGAGCTCTCCTTTATTTTTAAACTGACATTCCATGCAACTGCTATCTGGAGGCAGAGTCAGGCCTTGGTAACCCAAACCCAGCTCTTTTAAAATATATATATCATGTCTAGTTTGGCCCTGAGAGTGAGAGAAACATTTTTCACTCTGACACTTGAAGCCTTCTGAACATAGAGTGGGAGGCAAACCTAAGCAGGAACTTTGTGAAATGGTTGTAAGTCCCTCCCCATTATTTTCTTCACCCATAGGTTATATA